TAAAAATAAAAAGAATAGTAACAATAACAACACTCGCACTAACGACTGCCATGGAGCTAACGCTAACCCCAGAGAAGCATGGACGTGCTTGGGATACCACAGGGAGCTCATGGTTTGGTGAAGAGACCACAGATTCTCCTAAGTGGACATGATGACCAGCTCCTGTGGTGGGACCGTGGCCACCGCAGCAGGTGCAATGGGAATGATATTTACATAGTCACAGGCACAAGGGTGCAAAATAAAGTTTTCCTCATTTCGCCAAACTGAACTTAGTTGATGGGCATTCATCTCCACTGATGGTGAATAATGTAAACATCTCAATTCAAATGTGTGGTTTAAAGGCAGGCTCTTTTAGATAGTTTAAGGGGTGTGTATGTGTCCTCTAAGTACCAAGGGGGCTTATGCTGTCCTGGCACCAGGGAAGTGTCTTCACTGGATGTAGATCGTCCTGTGTGGTCTTTGGGCTTCAGCCTCTCTCCCTAAGGCAAGCTTCTCAAAACTGTAACACATGTAAGAATCACCTGGGGAGTTTGTTAAAAGTTTCCCCAGATATCCTGATTCAGTGGATTGGGGGCGAGTGCTTCTGGCCTGGGGACCACACTTTGAAACCACTGCCCTAGAGTAGCCTCTGCTGGAGTAACTGTGGTCACATAAGTCTTGTTGGCGGATCCACACAGGACACTCTGTGACTCCTGGCACTTACTATACACCAGGGGTGGCCCTATGTGCTTACATATATTAAGTATTTAATCCTCCCAACAACCTGTGAGTTGGACATTATTATTATTATCCCTGTTTTACAGACAAGGAAACCAAGATGCAGAAAAATACTAGCCCAAGGCCGTATAGCCGTTTAGTTGGGAAGGGACTGGAATTCTTCAGGATTGGTCACTTCTTCATTCTTCCTGAGGGACTCAGAAATCTTGGCCACATTCTTGTCCTAACATGAGCTTTCTGGGGACTCTGTGAAGCTGCCCAGACCCATCTTTTGTAGACTCTTATGGCCATGTTGGATGCTGGACATCTTTACAGTCTCATGTGCTGGGGTACACCCTGTGTAGCCAAGCAACAGTCTCTCCTGCTCTGGAATCCTGTCCTTATTGGGTTTCTGTCACCCTTCCCTGAGCCCCCAGTGACTCATACCAGGGAGCCATGGGCCCTGGACCCATTGTCAGTTACCCAGCAGCATAGAAACTTCCTCAGAACCCTACCACACCTGGCTGAACCTTCAGTTCCTTTCCTTGGGATCGGAGACTGCAGAGTTTACAAAAGTCTGCTTAGAAGCTCAGAAGCCAACAATTTGCCTTTTCTTCCCTTCTTCGTCTGTCTCCACATCAGAGAGCAGTGTGCGTAGGAAGGAATCCCTGCTGGGATATGAAGGGTGAGGGTAACAGGAAGCCCAGGGGGAAATCTTTGGATTGGTGTCTTAAATCATCATTCCTTCCCACTTCCACCTGTCGAGCACTTACTACTCCAGCCCCCATGCTGAGCTCTTCCCATATATCATCTTATTAAATCATCCAATGTTGGAGGTAGGCATAGCCACTGACAGGTGAGGCTCCTGAGGCACAGAGAGGTTCAATAACTAGCTCAGGTCATACGGTTGGTAAGAGGTTGAGCTGGGGCCTGAAGACTGGTCCATGTGCATCTGTCGAATGATATGGGAGTCAAGCTCCTGGTTTTATTCCCACCTTCATCTCTGTCTCCTGGGGTGATCGGAGTTGTCTAGAGTCCTGCCTTGCCATGCACAGTAATTGGGCTGTCACAACTGGGAATGGAGGAGAGGATACGCTCCAGACTCTTGTGTTGATTCCAGTTAAAGTCAGCGCTGGTGGAGGGCATGTCTGCATGCCTGGAGCTCTTGCCTCAATGGGCACCCATGTTGGCAGAAGCAGGCATTGCCCATGTACCAGGCTGAGAATCCTCCTTTCTGAACTCTCAGCATCCCCATTTCTGTTCAGGCATGCAGTGGGCCTGTCCCTTTTCTTCTCAAGCTGCTTAAAAAATACACAGATGAGGGTATGTTAATCCTCTTTTATTTCCAGATGTGTGACCATAGCTAAATTGCTTAGCTATGGGCCTGACCAATGCTTTTTGTTTGTCTTGTCCCCAAAGCTCCTCTGTCTCCCCACTGATTCCTCTAATTCTTCCTTATCCATTTTCCCTTCTCCAGACATCCCAGTGGTTGGAGATCCTACAGCGGCTTTGCCTGCATGACCAGCTGTCAGTCCAACACCGGGGCCTGGCCATTGCCTACAACCTGCTTTCAGCTGATGCTGAGCTGGCCAAGAAGCTGGTGGAAAGTGAGCTGCTGGAAATCCTGACGGTGGTGGGCAAACAGGAGCCAGATGAGAAGAAGGAAGCCGTAGTCCAGACAGCCCGGGAATGTCTCATCAAGTGCATGGATTATGGCTTCATTAAACCAGTGTCTTAGACAGGGGTCCACAGGGTGCTGGGGCTCATCTTGTGCTGTGCAGAGTCCTGAGCTGGGTACTCCTGGAGTGTCAATTCATCTGGGGATCAAAGCAGTGACAATGAAGTCTCCATATGAAGGAAAGGCTTGATTGGTCCCTAAGTTAAGAACTCTCCCCTTTGTCCTGGGAAAGTTTGGTTGTTTCACTGGCTCTGTCGCTTCCTGTCTCCTTGCATTTGCCATGTTCCAGAAATTCCTAGAATAATTTTCATCTGTGATTCTGAAGGCCAAGATAATGAGCTACAGTTCTTTATATTTTGGAAATGGATTGTATGGCAAGATAGGAGCTAACAGGTGTACGAATATAAAGGTTACTGCTGTTGTATTTGGATGCTGACCTGTGCTGGTTCTCATACTCTCTCTCCCATACTGTTTGAATTAGGCTGTTCAGAACTGTACGCTTCAGCTGCACTGCCCTGTCCCAGCCCCATGCCCATTCCCAACTGTGGTGGAAATACAGTTTATGTTAAACAATGTGACATGATCTTTGCAATTTGCTTGGGAAAGTCTTCCAAGTAAGACAAGCATGATGAATATAAATAAGACCAACCAAGGTACTTAAAAAAAATAATAATTCATTGACTCATATATCTTGGCCATCCAGGGAAGGCCTGACATTGTTAGACCCAAAGGTTTGAATGTTGTCACCAATAATATTCTCTGTGTATGTGTCTTTTTCTCTCTCTCATCCCCCTTTCCCATATCTTATCTTTGATTTCCTCTGGGTTTACCTCATTCTCTTGCAGGCTCTCTTCAAGTTGTAGGAAAGATATCCCCAGCAGCTTCAGACTTACATAGTTGTTATAGTTCATTATGGAAGAGAAAAGAGAGGACTATTCCCAATAATTCAGCAAAATTTCCAGAGATGACAGTGATATGTCTAGCTGGAGTCACATTTCCATCCATGAGACAATCAAATCCAGGGGTGGAATGCTGATTGGCCAGGCCTGGGTCATATATACAAGCCTGGGGTGGGAAAGAGCTTCACCGTGTCCCACTGACATGGACTGATTAGAGTTACTAAGAAATGGAGGAGGCACGTCACCAACAAAAGAATGTATGTTGGGCAGATCACAGAACATGTTCTGTACATTAGGCTTAGCCACAAAAGAGTGACGCAAGTAATATACTTGTAGATCTGAGCTTTTCTATTAATATTGCCTTCCTAGCATGGATAAGCTAGCTATGACCTAGTACCATCACTCCAGTATGTCCCAATTCCACCCACATTAATTGAAGGGTCAACAGCTCTGATATCAGCATTGGGTCAAGGGTAGAGCATTCAGATTTATAGTCCTTGATAAAATAATTTAAAATTTTGGTACAATAAATATGCTTCTACATATGCCTGGGACGTCACCTGGAAGAGGGACAGACTATTGGAAAGCTTCACTGCAGGATATAGGCCAAAGCCAACAGAATACCCCATTTTACGCCCAGAGAACAGGTGCAAATACCAGGAAAACCTTAGTTCCTCCCATCTTTTCTTCACAAACAATCCTCCCAAATAGCCTACACCTTACTAACTCTTGCATGAACTTGTTTCACAGCAGGAAACTATACTCATCACACCCTCCTTATTCTGATAGGGAATGACAATCAACATCAGGGTGTAGTCCTTTTGAAAATACGTGTGACAAGGGGGTGGCCCGTGGCTCACTTGGGAGAGTGCAGTGCTGATAACACCAAGGCCCCATGTTCAGATCCCATGTAGGGATGGCTGGTTAGCTCAATTGGAGAGCGTGGTGCTGACAACACAAAGTCAAGGGTTAAGATCCCCTTACTGGTCATCTTCAAAAAAAAAAAAAGAGAGAGAGAAAATACAATAAATGGTGTGGTTTGATCTCTTTCCAAGTTCTTTTCTTCTTTTCCCACATTTAGGATTGAGTGAATATATTTAGCTCCTTAACAGAAATCTCTCAAAGGTAAGGTCACAGTCTTACCCACTTTATGAGGTTATATCTATCAGTGGCATTCAGGGCCAGTTGGATAAATCTCTTCTTGTTTGGGTTGGAGAGACCACATTCTTTAACATGAATTTTCTGCACATGATCCAAGAAGATCCAGAGGAAACCGATACCCTTGGGAGGGAAGGTGGAACTCCTTAGTCTGATTTTTGGCTCTGGGCTGTCTCCCACTGTCTGGCTGAGAAGTCATCATGGGAGGCCTTTGAGAAAAGCTGTGAGAAAGTCTTTGTTTCCCATTGCTTAGGTTACAGAAGTGGTTGGTTCTTCCAACCTGGACTCTCAGTCATTCTTGCTTGCAGGCCACAGGTAAGAGGGAGTTCTTAGCAGAGTTCTAATTCTTTTCCATCTATGCTTGCACATAGGCTGATGCCAGCCTGAGATGGCCTCTTTATTGAGGTAGCTTGCTAAAAAACAGCAAGGAGCAGCAAATACCTGCTAGCTTTCTAAGTTTTTTCAACCAGTTCCCTTAGAGCAAACACATAAATACAGGAGAGGTATGTTTTTAAATTTCTAAACGTGTAATGGAAAATTCAAAATTTTAATCATTCCTTTTAATTTAGGTACATGGTTGTCAGTGAACTTGGTCTGTTTGATATTAACCCTCTGCCACTTGAGAAGCACACAATTTTAAACTTTATATCTCCAAAATGACATTTTGTAAAAATGTAGCCTCATTGATCCTTAGTCTTCTCACTAGTTAAAAATAAATACTAAAGGGCCGGTCCGTGGCTCACTCGGTAGAGTGCGGTGCTGGTAACACCAAGGCCACGGGTTCGGATCCTATATAGGGATGGCCGGTTTGCTCACTGGCTGAGTGTGGTGCTGACAACACCAAGCCAAGGGTTGAGATCCCCTTACCGGTCATCTTTTAAAAAAATAAATAAATAAATAAATAAATAAATAAATAAATAAATAAATAAATAAATACTAAAGGATTTCTGTTTCTGGTAATAGAATTCTAGCTCATGGCAGACCAATATTCTGAAAGAGAAAATAGAAAAGCCAGGCAAAATTTAATCTGTTTAAAGACACCAGAGAGCTATTAAGGCAGTGAGGATTCAAAGGGCGAATATCAGCAAAAAGAGAAGGACAGAGAAGGGAACACGACGTTTCGGTGGAGGCTTTTCCACTCAAGTTATTTGCCAATTTGCAAGCAGAGGTTGAGAGTCAAGAGGTTTGAGAAATGGCTAAAAGAATGAATAGAAATTTTGCATAGTACTATACCAACTGAATAAATTGTGTTTGTAACAACAGCACCACAGTAGTAATAATAAAAAACTTCCCACGAGGGGAACTCAGGCCCATTGAATTTTACTGGTGAATTCTCCAAACATTTAAGCAACCATATGGGTCTTATACAAACTCTCCCAGAGAATAGAGAAGAAGGTACTTGTTCAGCTCTTTTTATAAAGGCAGCAATACCTTGATACCAAAACTTGGCAAGAACATTACAATATAGGAAAAATGTACCTTAATGTCTTTTATAATTATAGATTCAAAATCCTTTAGTAAGTACTAGCATGCCAAATCCAGGATTATATAAAAAAAGATAATGCATTAATCAAGTTGGGTTTATTCTGGGAATATTAAATTGATTAGCATGAGAAAATCAACCAATTTGATGTATTGCATTAACAGAATAAAGAAGAAAAATAATAAGATTACCTCAAAAGAGGCAAGAAAAAACATTTGATAAAATTCAACAATTCATGATAAGTTTTAAGTAAACTAAAAATAGAAAAAATTTTCCTTAGCCTGATAAAGCTATCCATATAAAACCCACAGCAAACATCATATTTTAATGATCCCCCTGAGATTAAGAATGACACAACAATATTTGCTCTTACCAACTCTATCTTTGTACTGGAGATTCTAGAAAGTGCAATAAAGCAAGAAAAGGAAATAAAAGGCATACAGTTTGAAAACTAAGGAGTAAAACTTTCAAATTATTCACACAAAAGGATTGTCCATATATATAACCTCGTATCTACAGATAAACTCGTAGAACTAATAAGTGAATTTAGATACAAGGTCAATTAACAAAAATCAATTGTATTTCTATATAACTGTAACAAACAATTAGGAAAT